TCAACTTATCCCTGAGTCTAGGATGGTGAATACACTATGAGCTTTGTGATCTGCTGTCTCCTCATCTGCAAATTCTATTCCAGAGCTGTGTCTTTTCAACAGATAGGAGACAAACCATACCAAAAGACATTTATACATAAACATGAGGTTTCTTAGAGCATCCTGGCACAGTATTTTTCTTGAAAAAGTGGAAAAGTTAACTTATGTACCAAGATGACTTCCAAGTTAAGTAATATATATTTGAGACTCAAAATTTATAGGCATAAGATGGTTAGAGATTTTGTGACCCTTTTTGGGCCAGCCTTGATTTAAAAGTGAGGGCAAGATCTTTGTCAGACTCTTGGAACTGTACTCTTCTGCCATCTAAAGGATTCTTCTGTCCTAAATAGACAAGTGATAACCCCCAGAGCCTGAAAAGGTGTGTCTCAGTGGGACAGAGGCTTTGTGCAAATTACTCCTTATGCCAAATCAGGAACGTGGGCCTGACAAACAAAAGGACATGTCACCAACTTGGTCTCTCTGTGGAGCTTGTAATGGTCCCTTTTTGCTTACTGACCCTGACTTCCTAATATGGATTTTGTTCATTTTATTCTGCAACTGAGAAAGCTGCACGTGGCAGTTTATGAATTGTGTCTCCCAGCAAACCTCTGAAAGACAACTGGGGTGGGGGTGGTCTGCATGTGTGAGACTCCCAGGCCAGAGCTAGAGTCAGGCTGGGATGTACAATGACATCTATGTGTGACCCAGCAGCCTGCAAACTGCTTCCCCACAGGGCAGAAGTGTGCCAAGGGAGGGCGAGAGAGTCTTTTGTTAATTCTGTTTATCTTAGAGACTGATTATTTGTCTACTGGGGGACATAAAAAAAATTAAGTGAATTCCTTGCTTGTGTATAGTCTCATATTTTTTCTCTAGATATCTTCATATTTCTTAAAGCATCTCTTTAATTTGGGCATCAGCCCCTAACATTTTTATGTATAGTACCCCTATATGCAATATCCACACATGCAGTCAGATATTGTGGAGTTTTCATCCCTCTCTGTTAACATAATTTATTAGGTTTTTCTTGTGCTTAGAATACAGAGTTAAGAATATCCATATTTTTGGACCCTTTTCCCTTTGATGTTTTATAGAGATCTATCATGAGACACTGGTGTTCCCTTTCTAT